GGCTGAGAAGCCGAAGAAGCCGTGGTGGCATCGGTCACATTGCTTCCCCGCAACGCCTGGCTGGCAGGAGCACTGCCCCGTCAGCGCGTGGCACTCGCTCTCCCGTGACCCTGTCGAGTGGCACTCACAGCTGGCACCGAGAGGTGGAGAGTGATGAGCAAGCAATGGTTGCAAAGAGCAGAGACCAGAGCCGGGGACGCAGAGCCACCGCTGTCCCCTTGCAGCCCCATGCCGTGCCCTGCATACCTCTTGCACCCCACGGCGGGCTGCAGGCCGTAGTAGCCGGGCTGGCAGAGCCCACAGGCTCTGCCCGTCACGTGTGGGAGGCAGTGGCACTGGCCTGTGCTGGGATCGCAGCCCTCCAGCCCTGGGGCTGAGCCGTCAGGGTTGCAATCACAAGCTATGGGAGAAAAAATACTGCTTACATCCCTGCACGGGGCTGGTGGATGGGGCAGCGGGAATGGGGTGCCGGGGCTGAGCCCCTCACAACGTGGAGGGCCATGTCCTCCCCATCAAACAGGGCTCCAAGTGTCTGAACCCCTGCAGACCGGGATATCTCCAGGGAAGGACAGCAGCAGAGAGAGGGGGCAGAGGCCATTCCTGAGCATTTGAGGCCAACCCGGACCATCCATCAGCCCTTAAACCTGCTGGGCATTCCCCTTCCACCCTCTGCCTCCAGTGCTGGGATGATTTTGGCTGTGGTGGGACCCAGGGGAGCAGGGCCAGCCCTTGGGGCCGTACGTACGTGCACACTTCCCAGCTGGGTCAGGAGCCAGCGCATCCCCATAGAAGCCCGGCCGACACCTCTCACAGTGCTCGCCCGTCGTGTTGTACAGGCAGCGCAGGCACCGGCCGGACACAGGGTCGCAGTTCCCCACGGCGTTGAGATCCACGTTCTTGTGACACTGGCAGGGGATGCAGGGATGCATGGGGCCCCTCTGCCCCAGGGGGTCCCCAAAAAACCCATCGTCGCAGAGCTCACAGCGTTTTCCTGGGGAAGACGAAAAGGTGGGGAGGGTCCGGCTGTGCCAGCGTTGCCTGTGGCTCCCTCGCCTGCCCACACCCAGCCTCACCTCTCTGCCCTGGGGGGCAGTGGGTGCAGACCACCTCCCCGCTGCCAGGCACCTCGGTGCAGGGTGAGTGGCCGGGGCAGGGGCACGGCTTGAGGTCATCAAAGCGCCCTACGAAGGGATTGCCGTAAAACCCAGGGCTGCAGCGCTCGCAGGAGGGACCTTCTGTATTGTGCAAGCACTGGCAGTGCCCTGCAAGGAGGAAAATGGAGCTGAGGGTCTGCAAAAACCCAGCCCCGAATAACAGCAGGGACCACAGGAGGGATAGAGAGCCAAATGCTGAGCGTGGCACACCGTGGGTGCCGAGAGGGATGCGCAGCTCCAGCCAAGGGATCACTCTGGGACTGCACATCCCCAACCAGGACTCAGAACGTTTTCCCTCCCTGCCCCGTCCTTGCTCAAGGGAGAAGGTTTTGGAGATGATGCCGGGGCCCCAGTGCCAGCCCCGCGCTCCCCTGCGGCACGGAGACGAGGCGGCGCTGGCGCATGCAGGCAGCACCGTCAACATGCACGGAGTCTGCCGGTGCCTGTGATAATCGACAACACATTTCTCAGCGATGAGGCGCGTTGTTTCCAGCCTGTCATGGAAAACACAAGCAGCCGGCCGGCACCCAGTGGGGAGCGAGCGTCTCCTTGTGAGCCGAGCCGGTGAGTCACAGCCTTCCGAAATCAGCTGGGAGGAGGAGGAGGAGAAGGAGGAAAGATGCTCAAGGAACCCCCCCACCTCCAGGCAGATGCTCTGCTTGACTGGAGAGAGAGAAGGAGCCAGGGGGAGGATTTTTCCCCATGATTTGTGGGATCGGGTCATACCAGGCGGCTTGCGCAGGAAGGAACAGGCATTCTTCCATTTTTCCCACATCCAGGCGGAGCCGGATGATGGAAAAGAAAGGAAAAGCAAGTGGCAGGAAGGAGTGGAAAAATAAATGAAAGGAAGCATGCGGGCTGGCTCGGGCTGGCAGCGCCTGGGCCAGAACATCAAAAGCCTGGCCCCATCCCTGGGGATTGTGCGGTTGGCGGCACCAGCTCCGGCTCTGCGAGACGAAGGGCGAGTTTGCAGAGTTCCTGCTGTGTTTCCACTGGCAGGGCAGGGGCACTTGCTGAACACAACGCCTCTTCCAGCCCAGCCATACGCTACTGTCGCTCCTGACCGAGGGGAGCCGGCCAGCGAGGAGCCCCAGGGACTCTGTCCGGGTACCAAATGCATCATCTTATTTCCAAGCTCTTCAGAGCCGATCAGAGCTGCTGCTTTCTGCAGGGGTGGATGAGGAGCAAGGCAGCATCTCACGAGCCCCTCACGGCTCTGATCTGCCTTTCCCTGAGGCTGACAGCAGCGAGGCTGGTGCTGGATTCACACAGCCACCTCAAGCTCCAGGGCAGCGGTTTGCAATCCTGCCCCCCTTCCCCAGCCAAAGCCACCCAGACACTTTGCCTGGCAGGAGAGGGGAGAGCCAACACCCCACGAACCACCCCAGACACAGCCATGCTGCCCTGAAGACTTTGCTTTTGCTTTTTCCTCCCTTCAAGCCACAGTCCCTGCTGCAGTCACGCACCTCTGAGCTGGATCTGGAGCCAGAGCAGGGCTTGGGCTGGCAGCACGACAGCCGGCTCCCTCTGGTGCCTTCCCACAAGCCTGGCACCGCTGTATTTTCCTGCTCTTTTACTTGTTTCTCTGCTCAGGTTCACCCCCAGTTTGCAGGCGCCAGGGCTGCGCCCAGTCCTGCTCCGCTCCTCAGGCAGCGATGCTGCCTGCGAGACCCATCCTGACAAAACCCTCTGCCTCGCTCCTGGCCCTGATCCCTGCTTCCCCTGCCCCACTGAGGTCCAGTGCCTTTCCTTTCTCCTCCCTTAAGATCATAAAGCACCATGAAAGATGCCCCTCTTATAAATTACCACCGTTATTGCAGTTTGCTTATTATCTCTGTCTCTGCGGTTATGAACCCAGTCCCTATAACCAGCCAAGCAATTCAGCTTGCAAGTTTGGGGTACCGCAACCTCACGGATGGTTTCCAGCATCGCTCAGAAACAAGCAAAGACGTGAAATTTGTCACCCGTGCACGCAGCGATGGGCTGAGTGGAGGGGACAGAGGGTGCGCACCTGTGAGGGGGTGGCAGTCCCCGTGCTGGTTGCAGGCGCAGGGCACGCAGCTGATGAAGGGGCTGCCGAAGGGGATCTCCCGCTTGAAGCCGGGCGCGCAGGACTGGCAGAACTGCCCGGCGTAGCCCAGAGGACACGTGCACTCCTCCACCCAGTCTGCCTGTGCCCCCGGCCCGGGGCGAGCGGACGTGAGCCGGACCTCGCTCAGGGACAGCCTGCCTGCGAGAGGAGAGAGCAGCGTGAGAATGGGACGGCACGTCCCCCGGCCCTGCTCTCTCCATCCCACCTGGAAACGCTCCAGACAGGCGTAAAAGACCCCAAAATACCTCCTGGAGAACCCGAGGGTGTTCACAGAGAGGAGCCAGCCCCTGCACCAACACACCCCCTGCAATGCCTCTCGTCCCCGAGAGCCTGATGCTGCTTCGATGTCCCCAGCCCCATCCCAGCTTGGTCCCCGTGGGGACGTTGCATGGAGCCACCCACCTTGCACAGGGCCACGGCTCACGCGGAGGCGGAGGGCGGTCAGGTTGGAGAGCAGGCGCTGGAAGCTGAAGGCTGAGAGCGAAGGCTCCGCACCCTCCTCTGCCTCGTGCAGCCTGTTGGAGAAGGAGCGTGGGAGGAAGGACAGGGCCAGCCTGACAGCCACACGCCGCAGCACAGCTCAGCTCCCCGACTGGGACCCGGGCGCAGCAGTGGGGGCACAGTTAAATCCCCGAAGGGGGGCAGGCAGCGGGGCTGAACCCCACAGCACAGAGCAGCCCAGGCAAGATCAGACATGTTGTGTCCCAACGCCCAGCTGAGGTTCCCCAAAATGCCGTGACGGGTACCTGAAGGTGACAGCCTGCTTTCCATGCTGGGGCTGGCTCTCACTGCTGGACATGGTGATCTCCATCCCCTCGCCCTCCAGCACCAGCTGGACCCGGAGCAGGGGCACCCCGGTATCTATCCCTGTCCCATTCCCCTCCGCTCCCAGCAGCAGGGACAGGAGCTGCCCATAACTGAGACGCTGGTTCTGCAGAAACTTCTCTGCAAGGAGAAAGAGAAGGAAAGTCTGTAGGACATGGATGCACCAACTCTGCTGGGGATCCCAGCACGGTCCTGTTCCCACCAGCATCACCAGGAGCCACGGTCACTCTCCTAGAGCAGGGCCAGCTCCAACCTGCCCTCCCAGGGTCCCGGTCCACCGCTCCAATCCCCCCCACTGCCTTGTGTTATTGAAACACGCTCAGCCCTGGGATGGAGCCCACCGCCTCATGCGGTGGGATGTCCCACGGGAGCACCAGGGGGTCCCCATGGCAGAGCAGGACCCCAGGGATGTGGCACACATGATACCTGGTGCAAGAAAATCCACCGGCTCCTCTCCGTCCCACTCGGTGACAATCTCTCCATCAGCCCAATGCAGAGGCAGGTCCACGGTGCCCGGAGCTGCGGCAGCCCAGCCCTCCAGCCCTGCGTGATGGCACACAGCAGTGGTGCACGGGTGAAGAGAGCAGCGAGTCCCCGCCAGCCCAGCACCAGCCGGGTGCTGCTTTCAAGGGCTCTGTCCCTCCTCCCGAGACTCTCCAGGGTCTTGTAAGGGGCCAGCACTTTGTAACACCCTGCTCCGCTCGGGCTCTGCACTCTCACGCACCGGAGAGTGGCCCTAGCTGTGCCCCCCCATCTGTTTATTTTCTTAGATTTGGAGGAAATTGTTATCTTTAAACTTTTGCCCCCCTGCCTGTGCTGCAGTTCCTGTGGGCTGGAAAGTACAGGAAGCCCAGGGAGAGACGGGGCGTAATTGCATTAAGTTGGTTTCCTTCGGAAATCAGTTAAACTCCCCCTCCACTCCCCAGGGTCAGTTATTTCTTCCAGCCCTGGGCACCCGCAGCACGAACACTTGGAAATCTCTCCCTGGCTATCGAGTGGGCTGCACTCGATTATCAAATCATCCCGAATTTGGACCCTTTCACCCAGCACAGGAAACTTCCAGCTGATTCAGCTCAGCTGCAGACTGGGGAGTGCTTTGGGGAGCGGGGCTGTAGGAGGGCTGGTGGCTGCGCCCTGCCCCTCGCTGCCTGGCCACGCTGAGCCTCTTGCAACCCAGCCCAGGGCTCTGCCAAATCTGTCCCTAAAGGAGCAGCCCCAAATTGTCTGCATAAAGGGTGGAAAAAAGACACGGTTTGAAGCCTGGCTCTGTTTCAAGGCCATGGAAGACATGAGAGCAGTACAGCAATTGGCAGCTTGGTTTAAAGGCAATCAGGATAAACCCGCGCCTGGCGTGTTCACCTCCATCTGCTTGCTGGCACGTGCACCTTGTCGGGGTACAGGCAAGGCAGAGAGCCGGGCTGCCCATGACGGGTGCCCGTACCCTGCCGGAGTGCAGGCGGGGGTCCCAGCGAGCGTGGCCTGCAGC